ATACCTGTTTTGTTTACATACAGCATCCATACATCCACCCATACCTGTTTTGTTTACATACAGCATCCATACATCCACCCATACCTGTTTTGTTTACATACATCATCCATACATCCACCCATACCTGTTTTGTTTACATACAGCATCCATACATCCACCCATACCTGTTTGCTGGGGGCATTGAGAGCGGAGGAATGGTGATACAGGATTTTGTGGAGCGGGGAACAATGAGAGATATGTTATGTAAATGTAAACCAAAGTCTCACTACTTAAAAAAGTATTGTAACCCGAAGACTATAATGCCTGTTGACTTGATTGTGGTGAAATCCCTGGGACGTATGATTCTGGAGAGTTTACAGTTTCTACATGAGAAGGGGCTACCTTACGGTAAGTGACGAGTAGATATAATGGATACTTAAGAGTATTATGCAAAGCACTTTAATTTAGTTTAGTTCATGTTCCTGCTGCCATACTTCACCAAGTCAAGAACTGTTTGCACTTTATAGTATTTAAAATTGGTAAGTATATAACAGTAACCGCTATATGATTACATGTATAGGTCAGATGCTGTCAGAGCTTTCAACAGTTTGCTGGTCCAGAAGAGAAATACCGTAATCAATCAATTTCTCATTAAACTTAATCAATATGCTATTTAATCGCTCACTCAGTCATAGCTTGACAAAGTGAACAGTCGGCCTTGAAACGTTGGGAGACGTTACGCATAAACATTGTTTATGGCATAAAGTTTTGCTAATATTTATCAATTTTCACAATACTTTTAAGGGGAAGATGTCTCATGTGTTTTATAGAATAGGAGCATCATCGGTCAAAGGTCAAGGTCTCCGTACTAAAATTAGAAATTCAACCTCCCACTCCTTGTTGCCAATCTTTTAACAAAAGCCAGTTTGAATATGGTTGTCATCAGTCAAAGGTCAAGGTCACTTTTACATAAATTACAATTTCAATATCACACACTCATTTACACTCTGATTTGTTTGTAAATCTTGACAGATTTTCATTGAACTTCACAAAATTATGTTTGCCATATTAGGAGTCATCAGTCAAAGGTCAAGGTCACTGTCACTAATAATTTAATTCTTACCACCATACCCATTGTCATGACTCTAGCAATAGCAGCCACATTTCTTGAAACATTTTATGAAAGTTTACAGTTATATATGTCTTGATAAGCATCATCGACCAAAAGTCAAGGTCACTGTTACTTAAGATAGAATTTTACACAAAGTGGCTTGTCATCACTTTGGCAGAAAATTTCTGAACAGATTTTCACGAAAAATTCACATATATATATTTGCTGTTGGCATAATCTGTAACACGTTTGAGTATTATCATTGTTAGTCAAAGTTCAAGGTTATTGTTACTTATAATAAAATTTATAGAAAATAGCTTGATCTTTGTATAAGTATGATTACAATAAACAAGACATAGGTGCATGCGAGAAGATTTATCACTTGTGGGGCCATGTTTCATACAGGCCCTCTGCACCTTTTATTACTTATATTTTCACCTTTTTTTGTAGGTCACCTGCATGCAGGTAACTTGTTGTTTAACGGTAAGAAGTGTCAGCTGCTGGATCTACATAACTCACTGCTGGGCCTTCCATCATATTACAGACATTTTTTCGTACAGTTCAAAAAGATAAAGGTAAGGTTTTTTATACCATTGAAAAAATCTGTATTATTAATGTTTTGATACTTAAAATTTATATTTATATTTTGTTAAAAAACTATAATTTAGTACTTAAAGACAGGTTTTAAAAGAACTGTTTGTTTTTTTCTCTTTCTTGATAGGGTTGAATTAAAAGAGAGTGTATGCAAAGACCTAGAGTAGCGTGATAGTACTTGACCCTTCCCCATTATTACAACAATTGAGGAAATTTTCATTAAGGATTAAGATTCTGATCATACATTTTTCTGTAAAGACATTTCAAAGTTGAAGTAACAGTTAACATTGTCAGTAAATGGTAGTCATGGTTGATTTAAATTGGCAATTTTTTTTTATTATACTAAGTGTTCCAACTTGTCCCTGTTTGAAATCTTACAAAGTTTTCCTTGTTTGTAAAGCTGTGAAATGTTTTTTAATTAGAATTGAATGTTTTTGTCTAATGGTAATAAATCATTGACTTGTAGACAACCGAGATTATGGATGTATACTGTTTTGGACATCTGTTATACGAGATGTACTTTGGCGAGCAGCTGAAACAGCCGACGTGTGACAAGTTCCCTCCAGCCTGTCCCGCCCAACTCAGTACGTATACTAGAGAATCTCGTACATATACCTGTCCCCCCCCAACTCAGTACGTATACTAGAGAATCTCGTACATATACCTGTCCCGCCCAACTTAGTATGTATACTAGTGAATCTTGTACATATACCTGTCCTGCCCAACTTAGTACGTATACTAGAGAATCTCGTACATATACCTGTCCCGCCCAACTCAGTACGTATACTAGTGAATCTTGTACATATACCTGTCCCGCCCAACTTAGTACGTATACTAGTGAATCTCGTACATATACCTGTCCCGCCCAACTCAGTACGGATACTAGAGAATCTCGTACATATACCTGTCCCGCCCAACTCAGTACGTATACTAGTGAATCTTGCACATATACCTGTCCCGCCCAACTTAGTACGTATACTAGAGAATCTCGTACATATACATGTCCCGCCCAACTCAGTACGTATACTAGTGAATCTTGCACATATACCTGTCCCGCCCAACTTAGTACGTATACTAGAGAATCTCGTACATATACCTGTCCCGACCAACTCAGTATGTATACTAGCGAATCATGTACATATTGCCAGTTGATAGGAGTGAAATACTAGTAATACAATAGTAATGAATCCCAATATAACAATAGGTATAAAATCACAACAAAAATAGTAATAAATCATAATTAAATTATAAGGAAAAAATTATGATAAAGTGATGGTTATGAAATTGTAATAAAATCAAAGTCATAAAATTGAAATAAACTAATAGAGACAAAGTTGTAATAAAATGATAGCAATGAAATTGTTATAAAATATTTATCATGAAATCACTATAAAATGACAGTAACCAAAACTTAATATAACTCTTGTCATGGAATCATCATAAAACAATAGAGGAACATAAAAATACATATTGATACTATATATGTCAAACAATTATGATAAAATCTTGATAAAATGGTCAGATGAATTAAAAAAAGCATATATTGATGTCATTATTACTATATTTGCATCATATAGGGACTCCTATCACTATGATGTAATGCTTAATGGGCTTATTTCTAATATAATGGATTTCTTCAGGCCATTCATTCCTGTGTTTTTCTGAAGCACTCCATGCCCTTATTAAGTTGACAGCAAAACATTAACTTTGAAACAACGACTTATCACTTTTGTTTTCCTTTCCCTATGACGATGAAAATCCTAAAGAATAATTAATGGGGATGTTGATGTAATTTTACCATGGGTATTTTACTATTGAGACTTTTATGAACTGAAAAGCAGTTCACTTTGAATTTGTCTCAAGACCTATTGTGGTTTATACCCATCAACCTCAACAAAACAGAATTCTATCCTTATATTTCCATTCAGTGCAAAATTAATATCTTTTTTTTTATAATTTCTATAATATCGGTCTAGTGCAAGTCTAACACTACAGAAGGTACTGAAGCTTATGACCTCACCACTCAGTGTGAGACGTAGTCCTGTTAGGATGAATAACTTGTTTGCATTGATTACAACAAAAAAACAACTAAAGATGTAAATCATTTTTTTTATTTAATCAAAAACTTTTGAAAAAAAACACACCAACAAATTGAAAACAATCTATTGATAGAACTACTTCCAGTGCTCCGGGGAATAACAGAGTAATCAAATTGATAATATGCTGATGTATTCATATACGAACTCGAAAGTTCATTGAAAAATAACCTTTAAAATGTTTAGTAGGTAAATTGAGTCCAAGTTCAGTAGATATGTAAATATTACCTGTTGTATTACAAGGATCAGCTCTGGAGTCCATTTTGACGACTGAAGCCTGCAAGAATGGCCTCCCTACAGTCCCAGATCTGTTGTCTCATCCGTAAGTATCCATTCTGACCAACAGTGTCAAATCTATTGTCTCACCCATAAGTATCCATACTGACCAACAGTGTCAAATCTATTGTCTCACCCGTAAGTATCCATTCTGACCATCGGTGTCAAATCTATTGTCTCACCCGTAAGTACCCATACTGACCAACAGTGTCAAATCTATTGTCTCACCCATAAGTATCCATTCTGACCAACAGTGTCAAATCTATTGTCTCACCTGTAAGTATCCATACTGACCAACAGTGTCAAATCTACTGTCTCACCCATAAGTATCCATTCTGACCAACAGTGTCAAATCTATTGTCTCACCCGTAAGTATCCATACTGACCAACAGTGTCAAATCTATTGTCTCACCCATAAGTATCCATACTGACCAACAGTGTCAAATCTATTGTCTCACCCGTAAGTATCCATACTGACCAACAGTGTCAAATCTATTGTCTCACCCGTAAGTATCCATACTGACCAACAGTGTCAAATCTATTGTCTCACCTGTAAGTATCCATACTGACCAACAGTGTCAAATCTATTGTCTAATCCGTAAGTATCCATACTGACCAACAGTGTCAAATCTATTGTCTAATCCGTAAGTATCCATACTGACCAACAGTGTCAAATCTATTGTCTAATCCGTAAGTATCCATACTGACCAACAGTGTCAAATCTATTGTCTAATCCGTAAGTATCCATACTGACCAACAGTGTCAAATCTATTGTCTAATCCGTAAGTATCCATACTGACCAACAGTGTCAAATCTATTGTCTAATCCGTAAGTATCCATACTGACCAACAGTGTCAAATCTATTGTCTAATCCGTAAGTATCCATACTGACCAACAGTGTCAAATCTATTGTCTAATCCGTAAGTATCCATACTGACCAACAGTGTCAAATCTATTGTCTAATCCGTAAGTATCCATACTGACCAACAGTGTCAAATCTATTGTCTAATCCGTAAGTATCCATACTGACCAACAGTGTCAATTCTATTGTCTCACCCGTAGGTATCCATACTTACCAACAGTGTCAAATCTATTGTCTCACCCGTAAGTATCCATACTGACCAACAGTGTCAAATCTATTGTCTAACCCGTAAGTATCCATACTGACCAACAGTGTCAAATCTATTGTCTAACCCGTAAGTATCCATACTGACCAACAGTGTCAAATCTATTGTCTAACCCGTAAGAATCCATACTGACCAACAGTGTCAAATCTATTGTCTCACCCATAAGTATCCATACTGACCAACAGTTTCAGATATACTGACCTATCATAAATACACGTTTGCGTCTGCTGACCAACAGTGTCCAATCTAGATCTACTGATCTACCTATTTCAGACTCACGAACCCACTATTGCCTCACCCCTGCTTAAGTACCCAAAATTTTAATTTCCAATGTTGTTTTTCAGATTCATCAATACACGGAAAAATGTGTAATATCAATTCCTGTAAGAGATTTTCATAGGACATTTCGGGGCTGAAAACATCCAATCCCCAAAATAATTGATGGTAAAATCCCAGATTGTTGATGAAAATTGATGCTGAGTTTTTAAAAGATCTTGGTTGCATTGACTACTTCAAAAAAATAAAAATATCTCACTAGAGTTCATTTTGTATGCTCAAGGGGTTACACTCACTTGCTTTCTCTGCACCCCTAGAATATGTCATGTGGAAATTGGAGGCAAACAGCTAGTTATTTGATTGGTCCCAAGTAAAAATGAAAAAGAAAAAATCGCTGAGCTGATACCTATCCTTTGAAGATTACAGAGGAGCAACGCCTGGCTACTTAGCTGGTCAATTTTACAATTACACACAGTCGTGAGATTAATTTGATGTACATCAAATGATCAAACTAGTCTTTCTCATTCTTAAGGGGGTGCACACTGAGCCAATTTTGCCATGACATATTCCAGGGTTGCAGAGAAAGCGTAATTGAGCATAACTCCTGGATTCTCAAGTATGACTCGAGTTCAGATACAAATTACAATAGAAACAATGTTTACCAAGTGTGTTTTAAAAATAAAAATAAAAATAAAAGTGAGGTTAACACAATAGCCAACAAAAAGAAATGAATGAATTGATTTATTCTACAACTTTATTTTTAAATGAATGCTGAGTAATTTTTCTCACCCCCAACTAGTAGTGGAAGGTGTTGCTTTTCCAACGGCGGAGTGAACATTAAGTTTTTGTGTTTTAATTAGTTTCACTGAAAGTATAAGTGCTACACCAAATGAACTTGGATCATAGATGCATCTTAGGTAGTACATCTCAACCCATGCATCAAATGCTAGATGCAGCCTACCTTTCATGGTCCATTGACTTTGTCAGCATCTCTATCAACATTAAGATTTTGTGTTGAAGTTAGTTTCTCTGAAGCTATAATTAAGTGCTACACCAATCAAACTTGAAACGTGCATTGATGGTTAAAGTGGGGCACAGGCGAGACATATAAATCCGAATAGCTTGTTTTTTATGCTTAGTGTATATGTTGATACAGAATGTCTAAGATTTGTTGTATGTATCTTAGACTGTTCAGTGATGTCACACTCCCTGCAACAGACAAGCCTGTCCTAAAGATCCCCAGCAAGCTAAAGGAGGCCATCCGCCTGGCTAAGGAGGACATGGAGAGTCGTCTACAGGAGGAGCAGAAAGTTGTGAGTAGAAAAGAAACACACATGTGCTTCGTTAGTACTATAATTATAATACTGACAAAGTTTTTACAAACCAACTTTAACCTGCCACTGAGAAAAATAGGGAATTGATGAAAAATACTTGAAATGTGCATTGTGCTTGATTTGAATGTCATCGCAGTCTGAAATCATGCACAGACTGACATACTGCCCAGAAATGTTCAGAAATTTTCGGTTGAAGAAGCATTTCCACTAACTGTTACATGGGGGTTATTTTCTTCATTTTGAAGTAATAAAATTGTTATAAAGAGAAAAAAAAGTATTGGTTTCCAATTAGATATCATTAAATTCGTATTTCACTTGTGTGGCAGGCTAATTAATTGTTTTCAATCATGCTGGCACAATCGTGAAAATATTGACGTACTCCGTCAAAATAATTTACAAACACAACTTAATTGATAAAAGAAACATGTTTTCAAGGCTTATAGTTAAATGGAAGCAATATATTGTGAGTATCTATATTCTTCTGTGATATATAAACTTACTTGTTTTTATTCAGCATTTCACCGTCATGGATCTCTGATCGGTATAGTGTTGTTGATATATCTTTCCACTGTATTCTATACTAAACAGTTTCACAAAATCAAGAGGATTTCCAAGGCCAAAGAATTCCATATGTCAGAGGAAGAAAAGAAGAAAAGGAGAAAGTCAAAAAAGGTATCAACACTTTGTTTTGTTAACATAGTACAAGTGAATCAGGTGTCAGCAATGTCAGGTATCAGTAAAGTCAGGTGTCATTAAAAGCAGGTGGCAGTTAAGTCAGGTGTTGGTTAAGACAGGTTATTTGAAAAATCAGGTTTCACTTAACATTTTAATCATTTGAAAGAAAAATTAATGTATTGGAATGCTTTTCATGCCATGCACCTGTAGTTTTTTTTTTTAAGATATATTGATCAGTCATACAGTGAAATCAATAGCTTTACCATCATTTATTGCTTGATAGCATCGTATTTAGTCTAAATCTGATGTTGTAATGTTAGATAGCCTAATATATCTAGAAGACTATCAATCTGTCCTGATTGAAGTGAAAAGATGGATGAAGCATTAAAAATGGGTGGTCAAACATTGTAGTGGATAGCACACTTACCATGAACCTTTCTCCGGGGTTTTTCGTTTTCCTCTCACCCCCTGAACGCTTTCATCAAAACCAACAAGAGTTATTAACATAGGTTGATAAAACTTGTTTCAATACTGCACAGTTGTAAAATTAAGTTTGATTTAAAAAGATAAATAAAAATGATATGATGACCTAATAATGAATAAAATAATCATATGAGCATTGTTCCTGTGTGTATTTCACACCTCTATCCCATGTTCAGTGAGATTGTCTCTTCTCTTACCCCGGACAGGTGTATCCTTGTCTCACCCCACCCTAGAGTTAAGATGGGGGGGGGGGGGGATTTTTAAGATTGGCAACTTAAGAATATTTCCCCTCAGGTTGAGATTCCCCGTCTCCCCTCAAGGGACATCTTCGCTAGCCAAGGTTTACGATCCAGTACGATGGATCGTACCGGATCGTACCGGATCGTAGCCCTTGGCTAGCAAAGATGCTCAAGGGAGTGAATGGTTTCATCATTCTTATCACATTACATTTTACTCTTACCAACATTACAGAAAGCTTTAGAGGATGGCGTACAAGATCAAACCACAACCAGCTCATCAGATTCCACTGTATCTTCTAGTAGTTCTTCTACAAACACAAAGGTGGCACCACCATCTGTTCCAGGTAAGGATTCGTACGTGTAGTACTAGTTGTGTTGTATGGATGGCATTTGGGATTTGAGGCTGTGATTCATGCTATTTTCCCACTAATACATTTTTTCTATTGAGTTTTAAACAATTAAGATCAGGAAAAAAAATAGATTTTTTTTAATTATTATTAAATGGAATATTGATTCTAATGTTTTTGTTGATTCCACCAGTTTTTAAAGGGTGGGATGTTGAACGATAAGAAAGTTACTTTAAGTCTGTAATTTTCTTTTTTGCTTATTTGTTTTATATACAGTTATTTCAGAATGTGAACAAAATATTTTACTCATGTGATTTTATATATATCTCAATCTGTTGTTCAGTCATGTGTGTCTATATAGCTATTCAAGTCTATTACCTTTTATCCTCATCTGATGTTCAGTCAAGTGTGTCTATAGCTATTCAAGTCTATTACTTTTTATCCTCATTTGATGTTCAGTCAACTGTGTCTATAGCTATTCAAGTCAATTACCTTTTATCCTCATCTGATGTTCAGTCAACTGTGTCTATAGCTATTCAAGTCTATTACCTTTTATTCTCATCTGATGTTCAGTCAACTGTGTCTATAGCTATTCAAGTCTATTACCTTTTATCCTCATCTGATGTTCAGTCAACTGTCTATAGCAGTTCAAGTTTATAAATGTATATCTCATCTGATGTTCAGTCAAGTGTGACTGTAGCTATTCAAGTCTATAGATGTATATATCTCATCTGATGTTCAGTCAACTGTGACTATAGCTATTCAAGTCTTTAGTTGTATATATCTCATATGATGTTCAGTCAACTGTATCTATATATCAGTTCAAGTCTATAAATGTAGATCTCATCTGATGTTCAGTCAACTGTGACTGTAGCTGTTCAAACCTATTGTTCAAGTCTATAGTTGTATATAGCAGTGTCTATATACAACTGTGTCTATAGCAGTTCAAGTCTATAAATGTATATATCTCATCTGATGTTCAGTCAACTATGTCTAGCTGTTCATTTTACATGAAAACTCCTTATTTAAGACTCTTCAGTTTCTAAGAAAATCTACAGAATATCAATTTCGTTAAAACAAGTTAAACATTTATTTGATTTTCACCTGAACAAAAACCCATGGAATACGGATTAACAAGGTTCTTACTATTTCTACTGTGTGTAGTCAATATCTACTGTGTGCAGTTAATATCTACTGTGTGAACTTGTATAAACAGATGCTGTGAAATAACATTTGCTTATGTCTGTTGAATTCATATTGGAGCAAATAATCAACTTAAGAGACAAGCTTTTGTAGAAGATTTCCATACAGTTCTCTTGTTTCTTAATTCTCAATTTGGTACATTCATTGTACTAGTTGGGCTTTAAAAATTGTTTGAGTTTGTTTCTAATCTACATAACTGCACAATCTCATAAGACTTTGGACTGGTATTTAGGCATCTTCCTTCCAAAAATACCTGAAACTATATAGGTAGTTCATACAAACTTAAGTCAGCTCTTTCTTACTGGGTATTTTGGCAGTACAGCTAAAAAGGATGGGATCCAAATGAATAGTTTTTAGAAATTTTAAGGTTAAGAATTGATGAAGTAAGACATTGGAAAGACATTTGGAAAGAGAGTAATTTTAGGGGGAGGAACTGTTATCTACACAATTATGGTATGCCTGGGGCTCTTTTCTGCACAGCTATTAATTAGGGAAAGGGGCTCTAACACTGGTGACTAGAAAAGGAGTAAAATACTCAGAATAGGGTAAAATAACCTGTAAAGGAGTAAAATAACCTGGCAAGGAGTATTTTTTTACCAGGTATGTTTTATTTTACCCCTGAAAAAGTTAGTTTACCCCCTGACAAGTAAAAGTACTTCCCTCTTTTTTTTATTTTTTTTTTTACTCCTGGCTGTTTTATTTTACGCCTAACTTTTTATTTTAGCCCTCATAAATAATATCTGCACAATCAGTGTATGTGTGTTGATGGGGATGCATGTGATTGTGTTTGGGGGGGGGGGGGGGGGGGGGGGGGACTCTCGTCATACATGTACCTATTCATATTTAAGAAGAGAAGAAGGGATGAAGGAGCTCATGTTTTCACAATTAAAATGAGGGAAATTTTTTTCTTCACAATAAGGAGGATAAGCAGGGATTGGTAGGGCTCTTATCTGCAAAAAAGGATTATAGGGTAATTCGAAAATTAGAAGAGGAAGCAAGTGAATTTTTATTTTTAAAGATTTCAATAATCTGCTGTGTAAAGTAATAGGTTGTTAAATGTGTATTTCAGAAGAGACTGACCAGCAGGTCCACAATAGTTAGGTACTGTGCGTCCCTAATTACTTACTTTCTGTGCCTGCTCTATCAAAACTGCATGACTAATCGGTGTTTGTGACTAAAATTAGCTTTTCTGCCTAACTTGTACATGTAGTGGTTTATCAGCTAATGTTTGTAACTAGTTTATGGCTGTTAATTTTAAACTAACTTTTTAACACATTTGATAGCTTTTTTAATATAATGTATACTGAATCCATCGCTTGGAAAAGTGTGGCTTGTACATTCTTATGTATTTACATGTTATATGTCTGTCTGTCCTTCTTGTTTATGATAATTTTTTCTGGGCCATCTTTCTCCTATACATTAAAACTATAAGCAGCAGTGCTATGTATTTTCTGCTCCATGGACCATCAATTAAAAAAAATCTTTTTTGGCATTAAAGTTTTTTTGCCACATTTTTATTCAGGTTCACAAAACTTACGATGGTGCTACATCTTAATGCAGATGTGTCATTTACTAAATCTAGGTCACAGTGACCTAGAGTTTCTGCTGGACTAAGCATCAAAGGAGATTTGTTTCAAGGCCAAAGTTGTTACGATGGTATCTAATGTGTTTCAGTTAGTGTTACAGCTCACTCAAAGCTACTGTTTGTAAAGAGTAAATGCTTGTTTCTAATAAACGGTTTTAGCTCACCTGGATTTAAGGGCCAAGAGACCTTATGTCTAGGTGTGTCCTACATCTGTCCTTCCAGTCTCAAATTTTATGCTTAGTTGAAAGACTTCTTCTGAATAATCAAGAGGCCCAGGATGACGATATTTAGCCAGTAGCATACTAGATTGAAGGGCCATCAAGTTTGTTAAAATGAATAACCTTGACCCACTTTCAAGGTCTCAGCTAGGGGTCAAATATGCTAAAACCTTTAAACATCTTTTGAATAACCAACAGTCCTAGGGTAACAATATTTAGTCAGTAACATGCTGGGGATGAAGGGCTATTAAATGTTTGAATAAATGACCTTGACCCACTTTGAAGGGTCAAATGTGTTAAAACCTTAAATTAATTCTTCTGAATAACTAAGAGTCCTAGGGTAATGATATCTGTCCTGTCACTTTATGGTGTGAATTGTATTAAGTGTTAGATCTGGATTAATTACCTGGACCAATTTGAAGGTGACATTAGTAAAACATTTAAAAATCTTCTAACGATGTAGATCAAGTGATAAAATCTCCCAACAAAGATCCATAATGTGTAGTGTAATAATATTAAGCCTAGTAACATAGATCTGACCTTGAAACTCTTTGAAGGTCACAGATGTGATGTAAATAACAGATGAGCGATACAGGTCTATGGGGCCTCTTGTTTATGAACAAGGAATTTAATTGTTGCTATATATAATCTGTAACTAAACTAACATGAGGTATATTTGTAACAATGTACTAATTTTATCAAGCATTCTACATTTCATAGTTAAGCAATATGTATTTTCATAATATTATTTAACTGTTTTATAATATCAGCTATATTAATATTGTGATTCAATTGTATTGCTTTGCAGTAAGCTTAATAACAGCTATCATTTAGTTCACATGTAGGATTGCATAATAATCAAGCTTATTGCAAATGTTTTGCTCGCTAAAAAGTCAAATTTATGTCCTCTAGCAAGAAATTGTCTTGTAAACTTAAAACTCCATAATAAATTAAATCATTCCTACAGAAGACAGATTTCTGATTTTGTTTGTATGTACAGTACACTAGTGTTGATATTCTTGTTAAAGATATACATTGATTAGGTTGCCTTACAAGCTTCAGCTGTAGGGAATTTCCCTTTTGCTTAGCGGTAGATCATCGGGCTGGAGAGCCAAGGGTCGTGGGTTCAAGCCTCAGCATCAGCACTATCTTTATCACTTTTCCTCGTCCTACTACAAATTGGTGCCGTTGACCCTCCCCGTGCAAGGTAGGAGAACACTTGGCGGGGTGTCAAAGAACCTGGGTTGGTGTTTGAAAAAGGGGGGAATACTGTAAAAATGTGCATTGATTAGGTTGCCTTTCAAGCGTCGGCTGTAGGGAATTTCCCTTAAGCTCAGTGATAGAGTATCGGGCTGGAGAGCCAAGGGTCGCGGACGCGAGCCCAAGCATCAACACTATTTTTATCACTATTCTTCGTCCTACTACATTCTAATCTTATGCAATGTTTAAAAATGAGCGCCTCATAGGACCAGTTTGTGAACCATGCATTACAGTTAAAATTATGTTTCTTGAGATAGATGCCACAGCTGATGTTTTAGTGCAATTTTGTATTGCCTAAAGACTTTTCTTTGCTTATGTTATTGTTATTTTGTGTCATGTCGTATTTATATCAGAACTTGTAATGGCATGATTTTAAAAATCTCTCTCTGTGTTGTATCTCCTGTGTAGATATGGTGCTGGGCTGTTACACAGATATGGTGGTTGTGCATGTGAATCTATTGTATATGCCGATTTTGGATTCTGTACCATGATTTCCTGCATACTACCAAAACAGGGGCACAGCCCCCAGGGATCTGAAATGTTGCATTTAAAAAGATATTGCCTGATTATATCTGCGTCGTAAGATTGCTCATGGGTAATACGTTGAATACACTCATGTAATGAAAGCTTGGAGATGATCAAAATGTTTGTCACTATGTTCCTCAAATAAATAAATGTGACCCTGGATAAATAAACAAATTTGGAAATGATCTGGAATTAATTATTAAACAGATAAAATTGTGTGATATTGTTCTATCTGGTTCTTCTGCACAAACTAGAAAAAAAACTAACACACAAAGCCTGCCTAATTGTGTAACCATTTATGTAAGAAGAAAAAAATGTGTGGCTTGCTTTACAAGAAAACCACAAAAGAAATTTTCAGATGTTAAAAACATATAGCGTGTGGGATGTGTGCAAGAAATTACGGTAACCCATTTTATGACATAGGGCTCAAATGTTATGTATAGTGAATATGTAAATATATTGTATATCGTAGATACATATATATATATATATTAGATGACACACATTTTCCCTTTATTCTCATTGGTTGAATCATAATCACGTGGAGGTTCATGATTTGCGGTATTAACTTGGTGTTACTATTTTTAGAAACAGTAGCTATATATATAGGTTAATATTCACTAATCAAATGCAATACTTTTCTCTGTAAAATTTTCGTATGTTTTATATTTTAAATGATTAAAACTATATTTAGCATCTAATATAGCATCAAGGACTTTTTTAATGAATATGTGGCTATATGGACCTGAGAAAGAGATATTGACCGAGACGAAGGTGAGGTTAATATCAATTTCTCAGGTCCATATGCTGTTACCACATATTAATACACATTGCAGTAACAATAAAGGACTTTTATTTCGGTAAATATGTGGTTATATGGACCTGAGGAAGTGATATTGACCTCAACTTTGCCTCGGTCATTATAACTTTTTCAGGTTCATATAATCTTATATTCACCTACCAGGTAAACAAAAGTCCATAATTGATAAATATACCATCAGTTGTGTTCCGTGTACCAAGGGAGATAATCTCTTGTGTCCAAAATGGTGGTGTGCCAGAATTGACGATCTTTTCCTGAAAAAAACTTGCAATTGCTTACACTTATGTATTTTGTGCAACCCCCCCCNTACACGAGTTTTTATGGTATATACAAAAAGGTTCCAAATCAGGTGACTGTTGTTTATCATGTTTATCTAACTTGGGTAAAAAATAATTTTCATAATTAATTAGTTAGCAAAAATAAGAACACTTCTAAAAAACAAGTTTGTATTTTAGAGTGTAATAGTCAACACCTACTATTTAAAGAAAATCTTTGTCATTTTATTAACTTTCTAATCTTTCCTGAAGAAAACTTATATGCAAATACATGAATATTTAAAAATATAGTGATCTGATTGAATGAAATTCATTATCGCAAAATGGAGTCGCTAGAGTGATAAGTTCAAAATTGTAATGTAGCTATAGTAGGTATTACTGAAAAATGACAAGGTGATCTTCTTTCTATCGGCCTGTTCAGTGTTTTGCACATCATGGGGGGATTTGTGTCATTTGTAGTGCCTTATTGTCTTTCACCTCAGGTTTACTTATAAAACCTTACTGACTCCATCAAGCTCATATGATAGAGATGTTCTCTGATAAATATGAATTGCAAACAATGTATAAATAGATGTTACGTTGTATAGAATTGACAGATTCTACAGCAACGATGCAAAATGTCTGTATCTATGCATGCTCTAGTTCAGCTTGGGGATAGTTTAGCAAAGTTATTGTGAAACACCACAACTAAGAAAAACGTTAGTTTTTTTAGATGTCATGGTTTGGATACATGTATTTGGATATCACGTGCACTGATTCACACTGTTTGGTTTTTATGCTTATCTAACTGAAGTCACTGAAATTTTGAAAAATTCTCAAGAAAGCCAACAAATATGAAATAAACTAACCTGTATCTATGGTTTAAAGCTGACAGTGCAAGTTAAAAAGCTTTCAACTTAGATTAAAAAAAAATCAAAAAAAAAAATCTGGTTTTGAGAACTTCCCCAGTGACTATCTCTCCCGGCTATCGTTTCTATTAAAAGGAAGTGCTGACATTTTTTTTTGTTTTAAATTTCAATTGAAAGCTCTTTAACTTGCACTGTCAGCTTTAAGGAAATTCTATATACTGTGATTTTTTTAAAAATTATTTTTCAATGACAGGAGTCCCATTGTACTGTAGTCAATTGTTCTTTCACGTTTTTAATTTAGTTATTAACTAACATTTGTTGTAGAATTGAAATATATGAATAAACAAAATATTCAATGGTTCCTCTTCAACATCATTCATGGTGTATATGTATATTTATTGAGTACGGTATTTCAGATATGCATTATACATGTCGTTGCATCAAGACTTTTGATTCAACCTTATATTACAATTACATGTTGCCTTTGAATTGTGACTTCACTATCAATTTTAAATCGTGTTTTCTGTAGTGAAGATATTAGTCCCATTGTGCTGAAGATTTTCCATATTTCAACTGATCAAAATGTTAAAAAAAAAAAAAAAAAAATTGAAAATGATTTATTGCTTATCTCATACTTATCGTTGATCTAACATTGTTCTTTTTTTCCCTATTTTGCAGCACCCCCACCCCCTCCTCCATCTGCTCCCACTGTGGGAGGGGTACCGCCCCCACCTCCTCCTCCACCTATGGGTGCCCCTGCCCCTCCACCACCTCCGCCAACTGCCCCCTCTGGAGCCGCTCCCCCTCCTGCAACGGGACAAAGAGGCGCTCTCCTTAGCTCTATAGCCGGCTTCAAGAAAGGAGCGCTGAAGAAAAGTGTCACGGTCGACAAAAGTGGTCCCAAGCTTTGATAGTCTATATAGAAGTGTAAAAGGCTGTGTTGTAACTTACATGTATTTGTAGCTATCATTTCAGCTGTTTTAAATTTGCTAAAATTGTTTAATATGTTTAATTTAGCATCATAGGGGTATGATTATAGTTTCATATTCATATAACAAATAGTTTTTATTAGCTCATCTGCTCAAAGGGCAAATGAGCCGCGATTTATATACTAATGGCAATGAATGGTGAAATTCATGAATTATTATGACAAAAATGATGACGAACAGTAAATGACATACAGACTGATTATATTTAGAGTATTCAAATTAAGAAAACAAAAAATGCATGTATCAACTGTTTAACTTTTAATTACAGGTAAACTGAAAATGTGTAATGTATTTGAATTTTAAATGTATATGTGATTCAGGTGTGAAAGGCTTTCTTTTCTATCATTTTCACACTGCCTTAGATGTATATACAGGCGTCAGAAACGCTGCCTTCTGCCATACTTCTTGTTCATACAATCACGCCGTAACGTTGTCATTCTGACAGACAGGTAAACATCATAGGACAGGAATCGATTGGGAATCCCATCTCAGGGCGGCAAACATTTAATTAGTTCAAAGTAAGTAGCTTTGACTTATAAACAGGATACTCGTTATTAGAACAAATTAATCATAGACACTTTTATACGGTCTATAGTATGATAGCTATAGCTAGTTTGAGAACAAGGTCAACTAATGCATGACAACTATCTTATAAAAGCTTTTGTTTAAAATCTATTGTATTAGATTAGAACTGTTGTTAAAGAAAGTTTGTATAAAAGCTATTGTTTGAGAACTGTTGTATAAAAGCTATTGTTTGAGAACTATTGTATAAAAGCTATTGTTTGAGAACTATTGTATAAAAGCTATTGTTTGAGGAATATTATATAAAATATTAGCTATTGGTTGAATACTATAGTTCAAGAGCTCTTGTTTGAGAACTCACTTAGATTGAGTGTTTTGTGATAACAGGACCGGAGCTTTGATAGTAAAACTCTTTTAAATATACATGTTCTCATTTACCAAAACCAAAGTGTATGATGTTAAATGGATTTTATTACTTTTTCATTTTCTTTTCAAGATTTGGTACTGTTTAAAACATATTTATATACAAGTTTTTGAAATTAGATTAAAATTTGAGATTTCTTGATTTGTTTTACAAGCAAACTAGTTCTAAAATACGGTATATCGTATTTATTCTACCTCGGATCAATGAAGAGAAATAATGATGTAATGAGATTGTGATGAATCATAATTTTCCATCAGTTTGTGATAAAGTATATTGGATAAAAACGTAGCTTTACAACATGTGTTTCAGAGATAAAACAGATGTTTTTGTGATGTTGTATTGTGTTGAATTAGGATAACTAATGTCCCCTTTGTTTTGCATGTCATTGTTTGACAGAAAATAATTGTGACATGGTTTTTCACGTTAAGGAAACAAAGCTAAGGAAACGTCATTGTAAGATTTCTGTTTTAAATAAAAAAAATGATGAAAGTGCTGCTGTATATCCTAGATTTAAGCTGAATTATGAAATTTGCTTATGATAAAATGGCTAAATAGACACTATCATTGATATGCTATTGGGGCATACAACATATAGTGTTACTCCGTCCCATCCTGTGGCGTCCTGTCCTGACTCAGTGTCATATAGCTCGAAGGTTTTCATTTCTTAACAAATGTAGATATACATGTATGGATAGCAGCGAAGCAGAGAAATGATGATTTAGGTATATAAGTGGCAGTGTAGTTAGGTGGCAGTGAAGTGGGGTATACATGATGTTCTGGTACATGGTTGGCAGTGTAGTGGGGTTTATATGATGTTCTGGTACATGGTTGGCCGTGTAGTGGGGTGTATATGATGTTCTGGTACATGGTTGGCAGTGTAGTGGGGTGTACATAATGTTCTGGTACATGGTTGGCAGTGTAGTGGGGTTTATATGATGATCTGGTACATGGTTGGCAGTGTAGTGGGGTGTACATGATGTTCTGGTACATGGTTGGCAGTGTAGTGGGGTTTACATAATGTTCTGGTACATGGTTGGCAGTGTAGTGGGGTTTATATGATGATCTGGTACATGGTTGGCAGTGTAGTGGGGTTTACATGATGTTCTGGTACATGGTTGGCAGTGTAGTGGGGTTTACATAATGTTCTGGTACATGGTTGGCAGTGTAGTGGGGTTTATATGATGATCTGGTACATGGTTGGCAGTGTAGTGGGGTTTACATGATGTTCTGGTACATGGTTGGCAGTGTAGTGGGGTTTACATGATGTTCTGGTACATGGTTGGCAGTGTAGTGGGGTTTACATAATGTTCTGGTACATGGTTGGCAGTGTAGTGGGGTTTATATGATGTTCTGGTACATGGTTGGCAGTGTAGTGGGGTTTACATGATGTTCTGGTACATGGTTGGCAGTGTAGTGGGGTTTATATGATGTTCTGGTACATGGTTGGCAGTGTAGTGGGGTTTACATGATGTTCTGGTACATGGTTGGCAGTGTAGTGGGGTTTATATGATGTTCTGGTACATGGTTGGCAGTGTAGTGGGGTTTACATGATGTTCTGGTACATGGTTGGCAGTGTAGTGGGGTTTATATGATGTTCTGGTACATGGTTGGCAGTGTAGTGGGGTTTACATAATGTTCTGGTACATGGATGGCAGTGTAGTGGGGTTTATATGATGTTCTGGTACATGGTTGGCAGTGTAGTGGGGTTTATATGATGATCTGGTGCATGGTTGGCAGTGTAGTGGGGTGTACATGATGTTCTGTTACATGGTTGGCAGTGTAGTGGGGTTTATATGATTTACTGGTATATAAGTGGCAGTGTAATGGGATATACTTGATGTGCTGGTATATAAATGGCAATGTAGTGGGGTTTCCAAGATGTGCTGTTATATAAGTGGCAGTGTAGTGGGGTTTCCAAGATGTGCTGGTATATGAGTGTAATGAGGTGTGTAGACTGTACATGTAAACAATGTTTGAGATTCTATGATGTGAATACTCTGGAGAAAACTTACAAAATCCGTTGTGATGTCATTATCTGACTTAAATCATCAATACTCCAAAGCTGACCTTCTTTGCAATGTTTAGATGGATTTTCAATGAGTTGTCCCCCTTCATCAAAACGTTTAAAATGTAACAACTGTTTCAGGCAATGGCTTTTATTATACCTCAAGTGTATTGCTACTCATTATTTTTAAACATGATGTTTAGTATAGTAAAAAGTGTTGGTTCTTTAGAACACACCATTCATCCACTGTCACCACCAAAAAGGGGAAAAAAGTTATTCTTTCGTTAATATTTCGATTTGTCTCTGCAAGAATGTATTTTTTTATGTGTACAAATATTGTAACTTACCAAGGGTTTTTTAAAATACATGTGATATTCTGTGGCCATGCTTAATGTATTGACTAATCAATGCTGTAATGTTATTTATAAAAGGATAGATAGGAACATACTGGACATCTATTTGTGATTTGGCACCAGTGCTAAATGTATGACCATGTACCAGTATAAGGTAGATTAATACCTTCCATAATATTTAATCAAAAGGAAGGAAAAAGAAATTGATTTCAACTGACTAAATTTTAAGTCAGTGTATGACACTGTATGCATGTGCGTATGTCATTGTATTAATCTTCACGTGTTAGAAATCGATTTTTTTAGACCATAAGTCTATTTTATTGTCAATTTCAGATATAGGCACCCTAGAAGGTGCAGAAACAGTGCTGCTTACCAGAGTTTATGTTGCACTATGAACACTGGTTTACCAAAAAAAATACATAAATGTCTGTCGAGGGCTTGTGTGCACACAGGCAAACAGAAACATTGGGATTTTGGCAATTAAAACAAACAATTATTATTATTATTTTCATTTACACACATGATCAGATAAACCTATATTAACATTTTTGTAAACACACACACACACACACACACAAACACACACACACACACACACACCAGTACACATTGATGCACTGCTAGGCAGCACAGGGACTTGATAATTCTTTTACACCTATATTTGGACCTAAACTACATGTACATGTAATTCAGAGTATTTTTCACATTTCAGGGGTTTAGATAAACTTTCGGTAAAAAAATTCCCAACACCTATGGTGATATAAACGAGAAGGGAGGAGTGCTCTCGAAGTCTAAAAAATTTACCGCCCCCAACCCCCCCCACCCTAACTTAATTGCTTGAATCTTGTAAATATCAACATTGGGGGTGGCATTTTTTTTACCGAAAATTTATATAAACCCCTGACATGTGAAAAATCACTCTGATCACCTTAGTTTAGGTCCAAATATATAGCTGTAACAAATTCTCAAGTCACTGTGATAAGCAGGTGCAATATGTAGCTATATTGTGTACATACATTAAGTATGTATCAGCTCCCAGGAACCTGAATAGTCCAAATTTGATAGTTGCTTATTTTTTCTATGCTTTATTAAAAAAAGCAATTTCACATTCATCATGAACACTTAGATGTCTGTTTCACACTTGTTGGGTTGATGTCCATCAGATATATTTATGTATTGATCAGTTAAAGTTTTGTCTGAAGTTAGTTGAAGACTGTTTCATGATCCTGGGATAAGGTGACTGCATTTTTACCTGTTTATGTGCCATAAAAAATATGCTTAGTCCAAATGTTAACTTTGCAAAAACTAAATATGTGTTACATGGGAATAAAAGCTACTCAAGTCGTTTTCATATTGTGTTTTATGCTAATTTTAATCTATTTAAGGGTCTATGTACCACTGCTATGAACTCAACCTATAAATTGGAAACGGGTTTTTTTTGCCGGCATGATAATAGTGTTGATAAATCATTTAGAAAAGAACATCATTCCTTGTGGGACTTTCATGAAAAAATGATATAAATGAAGTAGAAACGTAATCCACATAAGTGTTTTGAGTGTAAAAAGTTAGCGGGGCCAGACCAAGGTTCGAACCCCATCCTCCATATCCAGGGGTTACGCGCGCGCGCTCACATTCGCTCTCTGCACCCCTGGAATTCTAAATCAAAATCAACATACAAGGCATTCAAATTTTGGAACAGGATGCGTCTTTCGTCGTTAAAAAGTAAGCACTCACAAAAAAAGTGAAAGGCATTTTCACCGGGATGGCCACAATTACAAACTGGACTTTCAACAAGGTTTACCCTATGAAGATCATATTTAAGTGGACTACACTGATATCTTAGTTTTGTATGCAAAATGTTTAATTTACGTTCACTGAAACCTAAGTAGATTGGCGGAGGAGATAATTCGTTTGAAGTTAGCGAGTTTTTAAAAGAATGTAAAGAAGTCAATGATCGTACTGAAAGGTCCAATGAATTCCAACTGCGAAGAGTTGAAGGTATAAAAGATGAATTTGTTAGAGAAATCCTGAAAGGAAGAAATCTATAAAAGATGTAACGGTTATTTTCTGCAACGGTAGATGGCAATAGATCATTTAAATAGTCCGGAGTTAATTTATTGAGCATCTTGTACAAAAGTTGAAGTTTTCTGCGTTTTCTTCGATTCGAAAGAGTTTCAAGACAAGATTCAAAAAGTAAATCTTCGATTCTGGCATAAGAAGGAAGTCCATTAATTACACGAATAGCTTCTCTTTGGGCTTTCTCTAACATGTTTCATAAGTTGTACAACCATCCCACAATTCACAAGCATATTCTAAAACTGGTAAAATAAAGGATTTATAAATCTTTAAAAGATTATCTCGATTCAATAAGTATTTGAGTCTACGTAAGACGTTGACTTTTTTCATAACTGAAGTTGGACCTCATCTGAGGTGTTCACAGTAATTGTATACGCTTTAGGGGTTTAGATAAATTTTCAGTAAAGGTATCACCCCCAATGATGATTCTCGTATATACAATCTGTATACATGTACCATCGAAGGGGGTGGCATTTTTACCAAAATAGGATATAAACCCCTAAAACGCACACTATTTCTCGGAACACATATTAGGTGTAAGCTGTAACCAAATTCACTAAGGTTTCCCATAGACAATTCACTTGCTTGAGATTTTCCTCAGCTTTTATGTGTATTATTATATTACAAGTGGTCCCTAGGTCCCTGTTGTACAATAGGTAGTACACACTATTTACCACGCACTCCTTGATATACAATTGTACTATTGCTACCATGAACTCTATATGCATACAATGACCTCTCCTTCCTACTCCTCTATTTCCATCTATAGTTTCATTCTCTCCATAGTCATCAGCATTCCACGCCCATATCCTCACAACTAGTTAATCCCGAGTGTTTAATTGCTTATCTACAGTCACGGAGAACGTCCATACACCCGTGTATCCTAAAACATCTTAACCCACCGTGATGGGTAAAGCTTCTGGTGAATCTCAGTGGTTGCCATACGCTGTTGCCACTAAAAGCTGTAGACAGCTCTTTTAAGTTTATGTTTCAAAAGTCTACTGTATTGTACCGTATCGTTTTGTATTGTACTTACGCAGAAACAAAAGAAATCCGGCTGAATATGAATCGATTCATTACTTATGTTTTCCATTGATTTTGACAATAAATTGATATGTAAATTTAAAAATTATAATATGTATTGAATGAATTTTTCGCACTTGAAATTCACCAAATTAGATTTTTATTTAACCCCTTAAAGAGATTAATTGTCTTCCAAATCCGTGTCTGTAGACATATAGTTTAGTACAGAAAAAGTGGAACCACAAACCAATACAAACCGGTACAAACAAGTAGATTTCAGCACAGTTATACAACGTAGTTTTTGTAAACGTCTCTATGACCGTCATAGTAACCTCTCATATTGAAATGATGCTGTTGAAGGCAATATCGTTATAAGTATCTTGTAGATTAAAACTTTCGTTTTAAATGAAAAACGGGAACTACGAATTTCTTTCCATTTTACATGACGTTTAATTTATGATTTTTTAAATGTCACAGTTAGTTCACTGTGGCGTTGACCTTAATAGTCGAAAGAATTTTTTTATTTAATTGGCTTCACCAATATACCGTGGCTAATTGATGAGAGTTTGTCATCAAAGTTAAAATTCTGTCCATGAAATATATTTCCATTTCCACTGCAAGATCCTCTAAACATTACCAGATTAAATTGCATTCAAATGGCTATACTATTTACATATGCCCTTCCCATTTTTAGGTCACCTGAGCTTTAGCTCAAGTGACCTATTGCTATCCGTTTTCGTCCGTCGTCGTCCGTCGTCCGTCGTACGTCGTCCGTCGTCCGTCGTCCGTCGTCCGTTAACATTTTACATTTCAAACTTAAAGTCAAGTTCTGCTGGGCCGATTGAACTGAAAGTTGATAGGAATGATCGCCTCATGGTCCTGACAAAGTGTTGTTATTTTTCGGGTCGATCAGAAATCCAATATGGCCGCCACGGCCGCCATTTTGAAAACCTATTTCAAACTTAAAGTCAAGTTCTGCTGGACCGATTGAACTGAAAGTTGGTAGGAATGATCGCCTCATGGTCCTGACAAAGTGTTGTTATTTTTCGGGTCAATCAGAAATACAATTTGGCTGCCATGGCCGCTATTTTGCTACTAAGTTCTAATAGGCCGATCTCACTTAAAATTGGTCTAGGAATGATCAGCTCATGGTCCTGACAAAGTTAAGTTAACATTATACTATTTTTTACTCAAATTGGTACATATTTCAACAACAAAAATAAATACTATAGACTCAGGTGACCGTTAAGGCCCATGGGCCTCTTGTTCATTAACTCTATGGAAAGTCAGTCTGCTGTTACTGGACAGTAACTGCAGTCTGCATTATCTGGTCACATGATAACGGTTTCCGTGACGTCAGAGTTAGCAACCACTCCCACCGTTATAGCGACGTCATCAATTTGTACGAAAGCCGCCATCTTGTTGTCGTTTGGTTCATGCAGACAATGAAGACATCCAGAATAGGAAGTTAAGTTCTTACTTTTGTATTATAATGTTCTGCACATATGGTTAGAGCATTTAACTGCATTTAACAGTTGTCGCCTGGTTGCATTTTCTAATGACGACAGTTGTTTGGAAAGTTTTCAGTCGGATCATGGCCGTCTGCGGCTGTTCCAAGAATTGAACCAGTGAGGTTTTGCGGCAGCAGGAAACATGAATTAGGCTCATCCGACTAATTAATAAGAGACAGGTCGTATGAGGAAATGTAAATATAACGATTGAACGTTCGTCAGATTGCAGTTACAGCCAAATTGAATGCAATCTGGGTGACATATAAATAATCATGACGTCATTCTATTTATCTGTCACCCAGATTGCATTCATATTGGCTGTAACTGCAATCTGACAGACGTTCAATTCTTAATTGAACGCAATTTGGTCAGTGTCATTTTGAGGCTTCTCCTCCCGCCTCGAATAACGTAAGACAACCGTTAGAAGCAAACATGTTTAAGACGTTAGGCTGTTACAGGAATCTCGTTTGTTTAGCTAATAACCAATATTAATGCCGATATAACGCAATATGGCTACATACATAATTGTGTTTACCATGGGCTAGGGTTTCATTGAATATGTCTGTAACCGATTTGCGTTCTGCGTTATTGGTAAATTAGTCTTTCACGATACCGTTAACTAGTTCAGAGATAGAGATCAAAGACACCATTGAATTCTACCTATATGTCGTATGAAGTTGTTACCAGAGCGTGTATCTCAGGATGTTTTCTTTTATTCTACTTTTTTATTTATCTATACAATTTCCTTTCGTGGTTCGAGAAGTCTATAATGCACCGCTGCTTGTAAGAAGTTTTATAGCAAAATAATTTAATTCTGAAACTAGCCAAAAGCAAAAAACATATTTATTGATAATCTATGAAGATAACAGTACATGTATAATATGTTCATGGTAATTGTGTCCCATCGGTTCCAGTTACCTAGCACCTATTGGAAGTCATCAAGATGATTTTTTTACTGCAGTGGTGACTTAATACATGGTTAATACAGGTTCGTCAAACATGAAAAAATACGATGACACAAATTTACATAGATAGCGGGGTAGAGAGAGAGAGAGAGAGAGAGAGAGAGAGAGAGAGAGAGAGAGAGAGAGAGAGAGAGAGAGAGAGAGAGAGAGAGAGAGAGAGAGAGAGAGAGAGAGAGAGAGAGAGAGAGAGAGAGAGAGAGAGAGAGAGAGAGAGAGAGAGAGAGAGAGAGAGAGAGAGAGAGAGAGAGAGAGAGAGAGAGAGAGAGAGAGAGAGAGAGAGAGAGAGAGAGAGAGAGAGAGAGAGAGAGAGAGAGAGAGAGAGAGAGAGAGAGAGAGAGAGAGAGAGAGAGAGAGAGAGAGAGAGAGAGAGAGAGAGAGACGGGAAGATTCTTATTTCACTGGGAAATACGGCAGGTCCTGATTTACCACGAAGGTCCGAGTTTAAACATTGAGTTACCTCTCTTGCATCGATACAGCTCACATGGAAAACTAGGACGTTTTAGAGAACAAATTTGACTCCGCCTAACTTGTTAGCTACAACATTTCCATTGTTGTTGGTGAACGAAACCTTTTGGTATCGTTAGAACAATGGATATTTTTATTTCGTTCCTGTTTGGTGTTTATAACAAAGGAACTTCCTTTATATAAAACGTCTAAAATATAACAGTGTGCATGTATCTTAACCCTCATGTCCCTGTGATTTAACAGATGTATGTAGCCTACTTTGCCCCTTTGTAATATCGCGGATCTGATGCCGACTTTAGAGTGCTACCT